AATTCATAAAAGTGCACTTACACTGAGGTCTTTCTATAAGTACGCATAAAATCCAAGTAAAGTAGTTTGAGATAAGCAAAATCAGGTATGGATCATCAGAAAATATGTACTGGTCGTGATGACATCAACCGATCTATTGCAGGTAACATTAACATTAACTCATCCATTCAGTTAGACTTACCGTTGGTTGTAATTTATTAAATATTTTTCTCAAGACAATTTTATTGTTATATATTGCAAATAAGTTAAATAAAAGCTTGCTGTTTCTTCGCTCTGGCGTTGTAAGACGTCGTGGGCTTATGAATGAAAAACTTACTGCATTTAGCTTTGTTATTTCTTCAGAAAAAAACCGCCCTTGGTATGACGATAAACTACATCCGCGTCGTGAGTAACATGATAAATTACGTCCAACAGCAAGTCCTCTGATCAGGAGGTTTTGCTGGCGTTTCCAGGTTCACTTTGTCCCCAGGTGGTAGCACCTGCTAGGGTCCCAGCTATGGACATATAGTTGACACCCAAACTTGTGTAAAAATAGATTTTAATACCAGAAATACTTTGTAATAAAAAAACATTATCAGCAATAGTTTTTGAAGGAAAAATTATCAGCAATACATTAAAAGAAAAGTACTAGCAATACAAACAGCTATACATTCTCTGAGAAAAACATTACCAGCTATAGATTCTTTCAAGGAAAAATATTACTAGAAATAGATTTTTGAAGAAAAACATATTACCAGCAATAAAAATTTTGTCGGCATCAAATAACCCATTAAGGTTGATATGCCGTAAAACAAAACAACCCAAATCATCAGATAAAAAATTCTCGTAAAATTTGTTAAAATTATTATTAATCAAAGTTCTATCGTGACTGACACAAAATTCTCTTATCTAATCATTCATTTATTATTTTCGAATCTGGTATTAATTGATAGATTAAGATTATTAGATTCCTTTTTTAAATAACGCTCATGAGGCTGATCGTTTGGAGAAAGCGAATATGGATTTCATTCAAGTTAGAATTGTATTCTTTATTCTCAAAGGGCTGTGTTAGATTTGATCCAAATGAAACAAGATAAAAAAAGGTAAATTTGAATGTAATTTAAGTATATTTTTACTGTCATTGATGTAAAAAAATAAAACAGGATTTTATGAAAATATATTCCTATTTCTTTTGATTGTGACCTGTTCTATTCCGTTATTAATGATAATTCACTTATCAAAATAACTTTCCTATTCTAACGCTCGAAGAGAGGACCATTTCGTGTTCTTTCTGAACGAGAATTCGGTAGAACTATTCTCTAAGTTCTCCAAAACATTTCATTTCAATTGCTGCATCAAATGTTTTCATTCGAGGGTATATTTCCTTTTTTTATTGTTTAATTTTTCCAAAGTAATCTTATGGATTCGTGCTGATTTATAATATTCAATGGTAGTAGGTTTATATAAGCAGAATCGTGGATTGATAATCAGAAAAATGTAATGAGAGTTATGGCATCAACCTGTTCTATACAGGAAACATTTTGATGTACTCATCATACTCAGACTTTAGTTGGTAGTAATTTATAAAATATTTCTCTTAAACAATTCTCTTATTATCGTTGTTTCTAGTACTCAGGGGAATTTCCTCCCTAACCTTTTGTTTAAGACAGTGTGGAAAGCTAACGAATTGATTATATCCTTTTTTATGTTGTTGCTGGTAGTATTCGAGTGATGTGGTTTCTCTTCTTTACTAAAGACTTATGTGATTTCGTAGCGCCAATAAATAGGGATTAAAGATGGATTCATTTACTTGAAGCAGTTTAATCTGAGAAAAGGGTTCCATATAGATGATAGTTTAGCATTTCTGAACAAGTTGAATATCATGTTAATAGCAACACATATGACATTTATGTGTAGTTAGATACTGGTATAAAAATAAAAATTAAAAGAAAAAAAAAATATATATATATATATATATATATATATATATATATATATATATATATATATATATATATATATATATAATATTATCCTCCCATGCAACCGACAATTCTCAAATGATTAATTTATTGGTGCTGTTAGAATTTATTAATAGGTCATAGTGTTGTCTGCATACGTGATCTGGCAATTTCAGTTGATTTTACAGGTCTGTGGTCAGCTGCAAATCGGATGGTGTTAAAAGCTGTCATATAGGAGTAAAATGTCGTTGCCGACACAGGAGGTTGACCACAATTCAGTAGTTACTTTTCGAGCAAGGTTCCATACCCTGACTATAAACCCCTAATAAATGACTTTATTTTGAAGAAATGGCAAGACGCTTGGAACGACTATCAAAACAACAAATTATTTAAAATCAAACCCTCTCTAAAGAAACAACTAACAGAATACAGAAAATCACGCAAAGAAGAAGTGGATTTATCCCGTATTCGCATAGGACACACGCACATAACTCACTCCTTCCTCCTAAAAGACGAAGATCCACCTGAATGCATAGCATTGCCAGGAGGCTTATACTGTGAAGCACTTCCTGCTTGATTGCGGTGACATGGCACATAATCGAAAATTATTTTACAAAGTGAACAACTTGAAAGAACTTTTCGAAAAATCAAACCCTAATTTGATCTTGATTTTTCTTAGGAAAGTTGGACTATATAATAAAATATAATTCCAATTTGGTGTCTGATGATGAAAGGGAAAACTTTGATACTTGCCAGGTGAGAAATTTTCAAAGAACAACGCACCTCTGAAAACAGTGAACTTTTAAAAACGAAAAGCAAGACAACATCGAAAAAGAAGGAAAGGAAAGGGAAAGTCTTTTTGAAAGCATTACAACCTTATTTAAAGAAAAAGAAAAAAACCAAAAAACAACTGTTTGACCTTAAATGATCTCTTGCTGATCGATGGGTTGTTAAGTTTTAAACAAACAAACAAAAACTTTTCGAGCAAGTACTATTAGTGCCAGTGCTACTCGACGGCGTCTGACACCACTATAGTTGTATCTGCGATTACAGTCTCTACTACAACGATCATTACAAAATTAACAACGAGTATTCGTTGACATTAAAAAATGGCAATGGGTGTTCGTTGACATCACAAAAAAGTATTTATGTTGTATTTTTCCTCCTTTTCCTTTTATTCCGTCTTTGAAAAAATGTATTAATGGTTAATTGCACCCTGCTTTAAATTTTCACGGCCTAATAGGTGTCGTGACTGCATTCGCTATGGCTCTAAGTAACAGATTGTGTTGCCAACGGTACCAACCACCCCCTAAAGCTTTGGGGCAGCTACTTAATATGTGTTGCAACGAACCTCTCCTTCCACATAGAAGACAGTTATGCGTTTCATTTCTATCCCATATATTTAGATTTTCTGGACATGGGAGAAGGTCGTAAACTGATTTTTATTAGGAATTTATTCTACTAAACTCAGCACACTAACGATCTAACCAATTTATCTTCCGCTATATAAAATATGGCGAGATATTTATGCGAGTATAGTCAGCCAAAGTTTTGAAGTCTATCCAAAGTCTCAGAATACTTATGGAGCCGAAAGTCTTTGTCATGTAAAAGTAATGTTGATATGCAACCATTTAGTTCACGCCACTTTTGTTGGATTCGTTTTACGATAAAACCAATATCAGTCGTTTCTTGTATAACCCTAAAACCACAGCATATCTATCTATCTATCTATCTATCTATATATCTATCTATCTATCTATCTATCTATCCTGTTGAATATTATGAATATTTGCCTCATTGTATGTTGCTGGCTTCAAATGCTGACAAAATAACAATTACTCGATTGAACTTGAACTCTCCAAAATGATTTCCTAGGATACTAATATTTTAAGTGCAAACCTTGCAACTGCTGCATGGTGGAGTACAAATGCTTAATTGAATTAGTAATATCTGCTGTATTTTGTATTGCTCTTTCTGATAATATTCTGAGTATGAATATCGCGTTCCTTGTCCCGATGTCTTTGACGAACCCGCACTGTACTTGTCCTATCTCTGGCCTGATTCTTCTGTGCCTTCTATTCATCAGAATTCAGATTATGAGTTTTATTATCTCTCTTGTATAGACTACGCAAAGGCTTTCGACAATGTCAGCAATCTTGACATGTTCGGGAAAGACGAGAATAATCAAGAATCCATACTGGCAGGGAAAAGCCTGCATACGGACAGAAAATGAGTTCAGCAGATATGAAAAATAGAAAATGCTGTCTTTCTGAGAGAATTAGAAATCCTACCAGGATTCATTATTGTCGGCCATAATCTTAATAATATAAGATATGCAGATGACACAGTGCTGATAGAGGACACGGAAAGAAAACTACAAAACCTCCTGCAGAAGGTAGCGAATGAGAGCGAGAAAGGAAGACAGAAGGCAAGGTTATCAGCAAAAAGATGAGCCTAAAATGCAAATTAAAAGCCGGCCTACTAAAATCAAGTAGATACAGAAATTAAAAATCTCTGTGATGTGTTCTAACAGAGGACGGAAAGTGCGACTGAGAACCGAAGACGTATTGGGATGGTCAAGATGCCGTCGAAAAGCTAAGTAGAGTATTAAGAGACAGAAAAACTTCGTTACAAACAAAGAAAAAAGTACTGAACTGCCACGTGATATCTGTCCTCCTTTATGGTAGCGAATTCCGAACAATCTTCTGAAAGATGAAAAAGAGACACAAAGCAACAGAAATGTGGTTCAACAGAAGGATGCCTAGGATAGCATAGAACGAACATGTGACCAACAACGATCTTTTGTAGAGAATGAAAACAAAAAAGAAACTTATACTTAACATTAGAAAGAGACAGCTGAAATTTCTGGGGCACATAATGAGGAAGGATGGCTTGGAAAATCTAATACTCACAGGACAGGGAAAGAGGGACATAGGAAAGCAACGTGTAACATACTTGATGGGCGCGAGCAAATAGATGGCAGAACAGTGTTTGGGAGAAATAACAAAAAGGCAAAATTTATTAAGAGCTACAAGGTACAGGAAGATGTGGAGGGGCATGATCGCCAACGCCTTGAAAGAGACTCTGCACATAAAAAAAGTATCTGTTGTGTTTGTTGTTCAAAACAACGCAGTGTATCTTCACGATGTTCCCAAAATATTCCGCTACAACACATGTACTGTGTCAGGGGGACAGTCTCCTGATGAAAAACGGCTACGGTAGTAACTGCGCCTGTTCTTCAAATTACCTTAAAGCAGATGGTACGTGACAAAATATCTTTAACAAGAATGACAAGATCCAATATTTCTCTGACAGAACCTATCTAAAACCATCACACTACCTTTGCCGTTGTATTGTTCCTTCCTATATTTAATCCTGATTCTACACTCTACAGAATAATGAATCACATATGGTGTCCAACCATTATTCACGAGAGCAAAGCTTAATGAACCAGGTAACCTCCAATTGGTATGTTATAATTTCGATATTTACTCATCGATTACTTTTGCTGAAAGATATTAGCATCGCTGGTGACTACACAGCCGTATACGCAACATGATACAGTGTACATTGCGATGTATTAATTTTTTACCATGATTAAAACTATCAACAATTTTTACCGTAGTAGTTTGTCTGCTGGCTCACACATGGTGGAAAAACCTGAGTTTTAACCTAAAATCGATGTTTTAGAGCATCCATTGTTTTTCGGGGGTCGGTGACTTCCGCTATTGAACTTAAGCTCCAAACCAAGCCATTGACTTTAGGAAATACTTTTCTCAGCCTTTCTGCCATAACTGTTTGTTCTTATAAATTTTTAATTCAATATTCAACATATTGAAATAAGCTAGACAAGATTGACTTAACTTTATATACGTCTCGCTGACATGAACAGTTTATAGCACCCATTCCTGATACATACATATGAATGTCAATGTTTCAACCTCATAATGTATTTATGATTTTGAAGTGCGGATGCGCTAACTATTATTGGAACATGTCAAATCACAATCTTGATCTAGTCTTTTAAATTCACTCCGTTCCACTTCCTTTGGAAGAATCATGAATCCATTTCTACCTCAGCTATTAATAATTGACAGGATAAACATTGCTCTCTAGCCAGAGTCGATAGCTCTGAATTCTCTAAGAGGCGTCGTAGCGTAAGCGCCATTATAATCCATGTTTTCCTGCCCTTAAAGAAGGCCTATGTCATACATTAGAATAGGAAAAAGAACGTATATAGATAAATCAATACGTATATCGATAAATTATTTAAGTTGAAGTCGACAGATAATTACATATACATAAAACTACAGATGTTAAGAGATTTGGCCAAATCAATATCAAACATGCACAAAATTCAACATAAAAAATAATGTTATATTCTCTATTCCACGCGGAATATCCAATTAGAATTATCTGCTGACAAAATAACTAAACAAATTATATTGTTCATATTCGAAAACGAGAAGACAAAAACAACAGCTCAATAAAACGAAAATGAATTTTAAATTATTTTGCTTTCGACGAATTTAAACTCACAATCTTTTAAAATATCACGAGGACTGTATGTTTATATAAACTTGTAGATAGAAGTTGATACACTATCACAAAAACAGTCGTTAGTCAGGTGCCCAGTAACGTGTTGAATACCTGATATTTGTAGGTGTAGCGCTTTGCAGCACGCGAATAGACACGTACAGCACATCAATTAAATGTTGCTCATCTAATGCGTACATCGTTATCTCAAAATTTGCTGGAATTCTCGCAGAATGTTTTTCAAACCAATTCTAGATAACTTGGTTCAATTGGAATAATGAACTATCCTGTTCCACAAACCAATATTTTGGAGGTACATGGAATAAGTGATTGATAGCAAGGGCTTATAATAAAGTGGAACGTGCAATGACGTTTACTCGGAGTAGTTGACCTAATCTTTGTCAAATGAACTCAATCCACACCATTATGGAACCAAATCCAACATGAAAGGTTCGAGGTTCCCATCAGCCCGAAACAAAGGGAATCTCTTACAGTGTCTGTGGGTGCGACTTAAGCCATTTTCGCTTATCTCTTCTCAATGACAATTCTAGTCAGACGGCTCGAACTAATAAGAGCCCGTGGTGGCTCAATGTGCTATATTCACTGTCTGGTAATGCTTACCTTCAAATTGAAATTTCTGGGAGCCATAATGAGGAAAGAGAGTTTAGATAATTTAACATCGATATGACATACTGAAGATAAATTAAGTAGGGGATGTTAGGAATGATCTATTTAACGTGTTTGCGTAAATTAATCACAGGGAAGAGACATAGATGTAAAAGGTGAAAAGTCAAAAGTTAAAGCAACGAAAGAAAGACATGAAAATTTAGAGAGTTAAAATCACCACGTTCTTTGTGAATTGGCACTTAAAAGAAATGGTTCCTTTGCAAGAAAATTTTACTTTTACAATCAGTTTCAGCATCACATATAAATGTAAGGGTGATTTACTGAACCAATTGTTGAGAAAAAGTGAGACTTATATGTCATGATATATGAAAATAGATATGATGAGCGCATTGAGAGACATGATAAATATTATGGGCGCATTTTATAGATTGATGCCTAAAAGGCTAGACTTTGATAATTCGATCACCGTGGGTCTATCACAGACTGCGATTTGTAAATAACCTTAACTAAAGGAAAGTGTAAATGCAATCTCGTAAGAGGTCTGCGTAAATACACCTCTGAATGCATTTGTTTTACTCAGTAATATTCAATCGAGAAGACAGACAAACACAGCTTCAATGAAAAAAGGAAAATACTAATATTTAGAACTAATTCTGAAAACACTCGTAAATACTTCTTATATGATGCATTTACAAAATTGAATGGTGTCGCCGTCTCTGTAAAATCTGAAATGATACTAAAGAAACATAACACATTTAACTGTCAACAGATTGTAAATAATTTCATCATATTTTTGTGCAGGGCAATATAAAAACGTTGGATTTTGTCTGGTTTATTCCGTTTTACGGCATATCAAAACCTCAATGGGTCATTTAATGACGACAAGATTTTTTAAGATGGATTCATATGAAAAGAGTATGTATTCCGTGTAAAAAATCAGTTTATAGATAAGGATTCATTGACGTATTTTTCTAAATTTTTCTCATTCCTGTCAATATTTATTATATTTCTAAATAAATATTTATATGTTGTGAACTTTCTGTTTAATAAAAATGCTAATTCCATAATCTATGTTATTGTCAATAATCTCGATTATGGTTTAATGCTTGTAATTTTTTAAAAATATATTGTTGGTATTTTTACTGCAAATCTATTTTCTTATACTTTCACAATATTTTGACTCCAGTTTGGACGTTCACTGTTTATCTATAGCTGAGACTCTAACAGTTGCTACCACCCCGTGTCAGGATGGACCTGGGAACAACAACGATTAAAAACTGGTTCTACACTTCCCAAAAACTCTCGCTTATAGACCCTGCTGCTGGATGTAGTTTATCGTCATACCCAGGACGTAAAGACGTTTGAAATTAACCAAATTTAATTTCTCTTAAAGACTCTTTTAGTTATCGTGCTCCGCTATAAATTACTTTATTTCCAGCTAGTAAATAAAACATATGTTGATTTTCTAAACATAGCTTAGGTGTGTCACAAGATCGAAATTACGGAGCACCGAGCGAGGATCGAACTCAATATTCAGCCGTAATTGTTCCAGCGAGACAAACTTGTTAACTATTACACCACATCGAGGTGCCAAACATTATGAAAGGTATGAATCAATAAAATATTAACACATATTTTTAATACTTATTCGTTATACAAGAAGGTTGGCCAAAATTCATAACACATGACTTACAAAAATAGTTTTAATATTGTGAATTGCAACGTTCATTTTGGCTTTCAAACATAAATAATAAAACGTTTGTGGGTCAGAGAAAAAGAACACCAAACTAAATTTCTCAAGGACACATGGCCCAGTGGTTAAAAGCGCTGGTTGAAGTAATCCAATGAATTGATTCAAAGAATTTTGAGTTCAATTCCTGGCCACAGCAGAGATGAACAAAAACATGGAGAGTTGAGCTAAAGTGAAAATAACTACAACTGAGATATCTGGAAGATGAATGAAACGTGGAACTAGAATTATGTATACCCGTGAAGGGCTCGGTTCGGAAATTCCAAGTCCCTGAAGAAGGCCGGATCTTATAACGGCCGAAATGTCATGAATATGACAACAAAGATAAGGACTCAGTCCAAACAATGTAAATAGTGTAAATAGTTACTAAACTTCCCTTACGCAAAATTATTGTTTATTAAACTCCACAATTGATCAGTCCGCGTGGGCGTGTGGTGTTAAGGATTTCTTTGAACAGGAATTCTGAATCATCGCGTATAATTTTCGCTCTAGGATTGATGTTTATATAACTACCTAGAATCTGGTTTGTCTTTAGTGTGCATATGCTTGGTTCAGCTGGGTCAATCACGTGTTTACATTTGGAAGGCGTTCACTTGTTATCTAGTGTATGTGAGGATCTACACCTGGCGGATAGAGCAAGGTGTGGAAGAGATAGTGAAATGATAAACACTGTTGACAGATATATTAAGAGGAACTAGTGAAGAGGCGTGATCACTCACGTCCAAAAGGGAAAAGGCATAAAGAAGAAGAATGAATTCCGTATCTTTTGTGATGTCAATGAACCCTCGTTGCCACTTTTGTAATGCCAGCGAATATTCTTTGTCACTTTTGTAATGCTCGTTATAGTAGAGACTTTGTAATCGCAGATACAACTATAGTAACGCCGTTGAACAATACAGGTGTCAGGCGCCTTCGAATATCACTCGCACTAATAGTACTTGCTCGATAATACTCGCTCAAATAGTAACCAGCGAGTAGTGATCAGTATAGAGAAATAGTATAGTGAAAAGTATAGAGAATAGCGATCCGTATAGTAACAGAGGATAGAGTAGAAATAGTGATCCGTATAGAAGTCACGCTAATTCCCATATATACATTTTCATTACCGTTACGTTATCTACTTATACATTTTTGCTCTTCTAATATAAAATTTAGATATTTGGTAATCAAAATGTGATCAACAGATTAAAAACAATGTGATTTCGTGAAAGATTTTGTAGGAGATTCAATTAAAAGCATTGATAGTAGGTTGTTTTCGTATTGGTAGAAAATTTGATTTGATTATGGAACTCACTTTGCAAGAATCCTGGTAATCTTAATTATTTCACACCAAGCAAGACAATAAAGCCATTAAGATGCAAAGGGGGGAGGTACTGATTGTTAGATAATATTTTGTGATGTCAACGAAGACTTGTTGCCACTTTTGTAATGCCAACGAATACTCGTTGTCACTTTTGTAATGCTCGTTGTAGTATAGACTTTGTATTCGCAGATACAACTATAGTAACGCCGTTGAACAATGCAGGTGTCAGACGCCTTCGAATAACACTCGCACTAATAGTACTTGCTCGATAATACTCGCTCGAATAGTAACCACCGTATAGGGATCTGAATAGAATAGAGAATAGCTATCCGTATAGTAATAGAAGATAGACTAAAATTGGAGATCAAATTAGATATCACGTGACTTTCTATTTATGCGTGTTCTCTATGATCACGTGATCTATTTAATTCAATAATGGGATCGCTCGTGTTTGCTCACTGGCTATCTATATCCAAACTCAAGTGTCTTCAGCGACACTTTATTCCTATATAACAGTATCATGTCCTGATGGTATATGTGTATTTTGGACGATTTTCGATATATTAAATAGTGCTATTTTCATTAATTTATTCTTACTATTCTTTATACTTACTCATTTTACATATTTCCTAATAGAATATAAACTGATTTCAAAAATGTAATTAAAAGAAAATTATATAACCTCAGTAACAGAAGTCTATGTAAAATAAATTTTTGACAATTAAATACAATATTTTATTTAGAAAAATATTAAATTTTGGCATCAATTGACGCAATAAGTTGATATATCGTAAAACAAACCAAACTAAACCAAAATTACTATACCTTATAAAATTTAAAATTGTGATGATAAACGTGGAATAATCAGCGATTGTACTTGAAGCACACAATTTTTTAAATCTTTTTTTTTTGTTTGTTCAGACACAAAAATCAAAAAGCACGTTGCAGCTGAACTATCTATAGAAGTGTTGTTGTGGCAACACCACGGATAAAAGCGAAATGAAGTTATCTCCGTATTTGACACGAATGAATAACGGGCAAAAATATCAACGAATTGATCGCGAATACATTCCATAAACAGACAACTTATGGACAATGACCGGAAATGAACAACTTCCAATCATCATGGCTACCGTCGTTCCCACTGGAACGAATTGGACAGTAGCGGTATCTTATACGATTACCGACCTTGGTATATTTTACCTTTTTTTTTTCATTTATTTTATTTAATCTTTACTAAAGGAAATCTATTGTGTTCAGTCAAATATGTTCTTTCACGAATACATTGTTCATATTCTTCAACAAAACACTTTGTGAAATATTATATAAACGGAATTTACTTAATATAATTACTAGACAGATAATACACAGAATCACGAAAAATGTACCTGAAAACGAAAACTTAGCTAAAAACCTTTTTTACAACTTGTATGCTTCAATTCAATGGAAATATTTCTAAGATATTCTGTAGAAACAATATAATTCGATTTTTTTTCATTTTAAAACATCACTTTTGTTAATATTTTGTGATTTATGCAAACTGTTTTCATTTTTAATTTGTTTGGTTTTAAATATCTAATATGACGTGGATATGTTCATTTTAAACAACAAAATTTTATTTCGCAATAATTTGAATATTTTATTTGATTAATAATGGGATTATGAATATTAACTAAAGAATTTCTCTGCATTTTAAAGTACTGTGTCTGCTTGTAAATACAGTGCCTACTTTATTATTATAGTACACTTTGGTAACAAAGCTGTCTTCAGAACGATCTTCATTTCCTCTCGAATTTGCAGATTTTATTTGTACTTTTGACTTTTTCAGATCATTCCAAGGAATACAACAAAAATGACCGAAGAATCACGGAAATTTCTTACAAGAATCTATATATTTGTTAATCTTGGAGCTTGCTTTCACTTTTATTTTATTGTTGGTATCACAAACTAACCACGAATTGTTGGGGATTGTATAAATGTTTTAAAGAAAAAAAAATCACACCAGCACGAAAAAATATTTGAGACGGATATAAGAAAGAAAAGCAACATCTGCGAAAGCAGAAGGTTTCTGACATCAGTTATCTAAACAAGAAACGCAGCCTCGAAATAAAATGGCGATATTTCCGTTATTCATCGTTTGTAATTTAATGATTTTTTTTTCTGTTGAACAAGTTTCAGTATAATATTTCCATAAAATAGATTCTCATTCCTGCCAATATTTATTATATTTCTAAAAAAATATTTATATGTTACCAACTTTCTGTTTAATAAAAATGCTAATTCCATAATCTTTGTTTCTGTTTGAAACAAAACTCCAGAGAAATAGTCTAAAATTATCAGAATATATTACCTGTGATGAGAAGATGAGTCATCCTTTTATGAGAAAACTGTAACACTTTCGTTTGGCAAAATCTCCTAAAATCCATGTTAATCACCGTTGATCTTTCCGTATTTATCGGAGAAGACATAGGACAGTAGATATGTTGATAAAGAAATAAGTCAGCGTGAAAATAACGGTAATCGAAGTAGCAGTCATAGTTACAATTGCGGGAAAAGCACTGACACGAGCGCAAATGATATCAGCAGAAGCGTTATGTTGACTAAAAAATGGTGTCGTTTCATACATTCTGCTTTGTAAGCAGGCGTTGTCCCACTTTTGCTAAATTGTTTTCCTATCAATTTAAGCTTGTGACGACTGAATATCATCATCTCAAAGGCGATAATGATTTGAAGAACGACATTTTTCTAATGAAGTGCAATAAATTCATGCAATATTCTACACATGCAATATTCTACACTTGTACCTGCTCTGACCATTTGTCTACAGCAGGTATCGACACGCAGAATTGTTTCGCCAAAAAACATTTGTCAATGAAAAATAATGATAGTTCAATATCTAAAAAACTACTATTCATTCTTTCTTTCTCTCTTTATTCTGTCCTTATTCTCGTCTCTTTCTTTTTTTCTTTTTTCTTTCGTTCTTTATTCTTTTTTCTTTCTTTATTTTTGTCTCATTCAATTTTATTCTGTCTTTCTTTCTTTATTCATCTTCTTTCTTTCTTTCTTTCTTCTGTCCTCTATTTTTGTCTCTTTTCCTTTTATTCTCTTTCATCCTTTATTCCTTTTTCTTTCTTTCCTTCTATTTCTCTTGTTATTTTCTCTTTCGTTCTACATTCTCTTTTCTTTATTTCTTTCTTTTTTTGTCTCTGTCGTCTTTCATTCTATATTCTCTTTTTTCGTTCTTTCTTTCTTTTTGTCTCTTTCTTTTGTATTCTCTTTTTCATTCTTTATTCTTTTGTCTTTCTTTCTTTCATTATTTTATTTTTGTCTCATTCTTCTTTTTCTCTCTTTTATACTTTATTCTCTTTTTCTTTCTTTCTCTTTCTCTTTTTATTCTCTCTTTCTTTATTTAATCTTTCTTTCTTTCTTTCTTCTGTCCTTCTCCATTTTTGTCTCTTTCTCATTTTATTCTCTTTCATCCTTTATTCCATCGTTCTGTCTTTCTTTCTTTCTTTCTTTCTTTCTTTCTTTCTTTCTTTCTTTCTTTCTTTCTATTTCTTCCTGTATTTCCAATTTCTCTCTATCTTTCTTTCTTTTCTATAGTTTTTCTTAGTGTTGAGGGGTTCTCCCCTTTTTACACAAATGGACTCACCCAATATATACATATACTACTGCTACGTGAAGATCCGAGAGACGAGAGCAACAGAGGTAACACATAGACAGAACGAACGTAGCCAGCAAGAGTCACAGTGAGCAAGCACGTAGACTCAGTAAGAAGTCATACAGCGATACTTCAATACCAAAAACTGTATAGATATTTAGCTACTAACCCGTATTCCTGAAACTACTAACCTGCTTTACCAGTTTGTATTATTACGTTAATACATTATTTTTCTATATTCATTCTTGGCGTTTGCTATTTATTGGTATCGGATTTCATCGCGGAATCCACAACATTTAGTTCTTTTTTTCTATCATTCTTCCAGTCTGAATTCTTTTCTTTTCCTCTGTTACCTCCTCGTTTTTCTTTATTCTTTCATTTGCTTTTTCCATCAAACTTTTTTCGTTTTCCTTCAGTTTTCCAACTTCGTTCGTTCGTTTCATTTGTTTTTTCATCGTTTATTTCTCAATTATTCTTTCATTATTCTTCTGATAACTATCTATCTTTGTTTCTATGGCATTTACTTTTCGCCTCTCTTCTTCCTGTTTATCATCATTATCATTTGTCTCATTTCGTTCACTACATGACAAGATCTCTATTATTTTTATACACATTCTCTCTCTTTAATATAATTAATATTTATTAATTACTTGGTTGCATATCCTTTATTAATTGTTCCATGTATGTCTTATATTTCACTGGTTCCATTCGATTTTTTTTTATGTCTTCATCCTGTCTCTTTCTAATCATCTGACGATTTCATAAAATAATATTTCATTGTTTGAATTTGCTTCCTTAATTTTATTAATGTTTCTTTGTTATTCTATGTTATGTACTTTCTTTAAAATACCTAACTGATTTTAAGAAGGAGATTTCTTCTTTTCTTTTTGTCTCTTTCTTTTGCTTTCTCTTTTTCATTTTTTATTCTTTCTTTCTTTCTTTCTTTTTTTCATTATATCTTTTTGTCTCTTTCTTCTTTTTGTCTCTTTCATTCTTTATTCTCTTTTTTGTTTCTCTTTCTCTTTTTATTCTTTCTTTCTTTATTTTTTCTTTCTTTCTTTCTTCTGTCCTTCTTTCTTTTTGTCTCTTTCTCCTTTTATTCTCTTTCATCCTTTATTCTCTCGTTCTTTCTTTCCAATATATTTCTATTTTTTCTGGCGATATTTACTTTTCATTTCCCTAAAAACTGACATATTTTTCAAAAGAAGTTAGTAACTAATTAATAGAAAATCAATGATAGAAAATCAATAGTGAATAGGAAAAACTTCTACAATATTTGCTTGAAATTTCCCATGTTCATAATGAAATTATATACACTCAATGATGCGTGAAAAATATCTCAAACATCTGAATGTCCTTGTTTTTTCCATTTCCTGTCCAGTGCCTATTTTATCATCATTTTCATTCCAAGTTGATATGGTGAAAAATGAAAATTAATATATGAATTTGCTTTAAAATACATATTTATGCAATAGACAACCATTACTTAATAAAACAGCTATTAAGATAGATTTCTACTTCGCCATTTACATTGACAATACACTTAAAATGGATTTTTCATGTGACAAATTTTCATTCTTACAACTGCGTTTATGTTAAGACTACCAAAATATAATTAATGTCTATATTTTTCAAGGTGTTTCCCTTTTTAGATAAAGGTGGTTACAATAACACAGGCATCATCATCATCTACTTTATTATCATCATCAGTCACATGGCTGAGTGTGGTCGTAGAGTCACTGCGCGGTCGAGCACCGAATGTACTCCCTTTATATATCTCGGTTTCATGCCAATATCTTCTTTTACCTAAGGTCAAACATTGTAGCATTGTAGAGGAAAGGTTGCTCATATGATGTGTCTATACAATTTCAACTTTATTTCCTTGACGGTTGATATGACGTCTTCCAACTGACCTTTCTTTTTTCTGGTGACGTATTGCACTGCGTCATTTGTCATGAGATTTTCATAGCAGATGACTAGGATAGTTCTTCTATAGTTCAAGGTTTGCAGGAATATATAATATATTGAGAAACGCATTCATACAACAGACAGTCTTGCATGTCTTTTCTAAATGATTTCTGCTAGGTTATAATATGTTGCAAAACGATTTACAATACATTATTTACATTATTCGGACTAATATCCTCATCTTCATTACCATATTCATATCGTTTCGGCTGTTGTATGCTCCGACCTTCTTAACTGGTCTCTTTGTCCTTGAAAACTCATGGCTCGGATAAAGACGTTGGTTAGATCCAGTGACTAGACCCAAAGTGTTTTGAGTTCAATACCAGAACCCAAAATCTTGGAGAGTTGAGTTAAAGGGAAATAACTGATACATCCGGAAGAGACATGGCACTTGGTACTAGAACAAAATACTCTTGTGAACGAAATAAAGGGTTCGGTTCGAAATGTCAATTATATGAAGAAGTTCGGAGTGTACAACGGCTGAAACGTTGTGAATATGGCAATGAAGATGAAGACAACTGTCGAAATAATGTAAATCATGATACCTCATTTCAGAGATATAGAAAAATCACATCCATATATTTATATATATGCTGCAGAATAGACGATGCAATCTGTGTTCTTCAGAGGAGCCAGATCCAGTCTTGACCACAGATTGCCTCCTAGTCGGAAGGCGGATTTCCGTGTTTCCGTTGGTTTTAGTGGCTACGCGCAGGTGAAAATGGCGGTCTATCTGCGCCTGATATACATTACAACTCCTACGAAAGGCAGCAAGAGTAGCATGTTATAAATTCAATTTAACTTTAGATTTCATTCTTTATTATTCTTCTTTAATTTTAACAACTTGAATACAGCGGTAAATGCATAAAATAACGAGCCATCATTTATCCCCGAGAAATGTAACTAATACGACAAATAGATTGAAGACGGATATAAATACCAAACACTCAAACACAAAATGACAAATAATGGTTTCTGAGTCAGAGTATTGCGTATTGTTCCGGTTAAAAAAATGAATGCTTCGAAAACAGATAGTTAACATTTTTCAACCAATGGGTCGCGTTCCCGCCAAAAAGAAAAAAAAATCATTTATGATCCCTTTGAAGTGTATTTATGCAAAATTTCAAGACGGACAAACCAGAAGAAGAGACAACTGATAATAGACCGTAACTGGTCACGATGTTCGGCTTAAACGAAATCCCCTTACACTGTCTTCCTTACCAAGCTACGAGACCAATGGCGGTTCGTCTATAAGCACAACGAAAATGCAACATCCCCTAATTTTGCTCGATATTATTGATAACGTTCAATATAATGAGATTTTTTTCTTTAATTCTTTCCTTATATTTGTACATTTTACGATGCTTAATATCAGTAGCCATCCCATCGTTCATGAAAAGTTACAAAAATCCTTGTATGGAACTGTGAAGCAGAAAGTCCCAGTAATATAGTGTTTGGCTTTTGTGCGCATGTCCGAGGAAAGTAGCTGAAATCTGGTTAGAGATAACACTGTCACTCAATCAGTGTCGACCCTGTTGTCCGAGTGTTAGATAGTTTGATTTTTTTGATTTTTTAGTAAGCGTGTGATGTGTTTAAAGACCATATTTTTGAATGTGGGAAACTGTAGCTAGATGATTATCATGTTTGCAACGGAACACTTTCCTCACTTTCTCTCCTACCTTTATTTCTCATACATGCACAAGAAATCACATTTCCTAACCTCTCGGAAAACGACTACATACAAAGGACTGTACCCTGACAAATATAAAAACTTTTAACACTCGCACAGATTTACTTGGAAAGAAACACGAAAATAAAAAAAATATATTTTTTTTATATTTAAACAACTTTTACATCTTTTTTTTTGTGTTGCGGGCTGATTAAAATCCCTAACAGTGACGATTCAACGCAAAGAAAGATTCTTCTAAGCATAACTTATGACTCATAAAATCTGTGGTATTATTCAAATTGATATTGATCAAGGTTAATCTAGGAGAAATGGAAACCAAGATATGAAGAAGAATATTCATTAAATCAGGCGTATCAGTTTCTAGCTTTCAATATAAGACAAGAGATATAAAGTTTATATCAAGTGCCTGAATAAAGATGATCAGCTAATTTCCATCTGGAGAAATATCCTACTTAAAATCCATTCTAAAGACAATATCTTTCAACTTAATTAATCCATCAATCAATAAAATTATTTATTCATTCAATCAGTTATTCAAAATCTATCGAACTTTGCATTTTAGTTTAGTTAAAAATAAGATTTTTTTTTCGTTTTTCACACAATACCAGCGATAACGAGCGTTAAGAATTTTTAACCTTTCAATTTAACCAATATTTTATCATTAACTATTCACTGACATTCATTCGTATACAACATTAACAGGAAACAAAGGATAAACTTTTCTGACATTCGGACTCTGCAACTAATTAAGGTACACAAATCAATTGTTTCGATTTCAAAACGAACAGTAGATTGTTTAGTTTTATTTTCCACGACGCCTCAGAGCTGCTATTTTTGGTAAGTTTTCATTAAAACAAATTACCTTTTATTATTCTGTGAGGCATTGTGAATTATTATTGATTTCTGATTTGTGATTTTTAAACAACGGTTGAAAAATGACGGCCAAATAGTAGAGTTGAGAAGCGACTGAAATTAAATTAATTATAATTTACATCTCTTCTTCTAATAATGTATTTCAAGATATTATAACCTGTCATTATATCTTACGCAAGATTCTATTCGATTTCGATTTACACTTTCACGAGAAGCTTAAGATATTACTGAACCGTAACGAATTCAGGAAAATACGATAACAGAAGTTTCGGTAATGCAAAATTCCGTAATTTTGACAAGGTAAGACCATTTGGAACCTATGAAATAAAATTCGATTGAAAATTGATTTTAGGGCCGTTCTAGAGTGGGGAATTGAGGGCTAAGACCACCTCCGCTATATTTTTAAATACCTGAAAAATAAAACACCACCACAACAATACCAGGGCCGTACTTGTATTAATGGAGCTTAGGGGGCTGGGCATCCTTCCCCATTTTTAAAAAAAGTATTATTAACTATGGAGCTCTAGATAAAACTCAGCAACAACAATACCAAGTCCGTAATTTCTAGAGGAGGCTTAACTAAAAAGAAATCATTAGGTTCCACCAGCAACAATACCAGGGTCGTAATTTCTAGAGGAGGCTAGACCACCCCCATACGTTTAAATAAGTATTAACTAAAAAGAAATCATAGGTTCCAGTCCAGCAACAATACCAGGGTCGTAATTTCTGGTTGGAGGATTTAGGGGTCTAAGCCACACTTCCAACATTTTTAAATAAATATTTTTAAATAAGTATATATTGAGTTAGTACACTCTACTGTTTTCAAGCAAATAAAATCGATTTATCTAAGTTAATGTTAAGTTCTTGTATCTTTTCAAATTATTATTTTAATAAAAAAAAAGTAGTAAATAAACTGAGTTTTAAATAGTTATTTCTTTTTAAAGAAGCAAAGTATACACAGCCACATTTTTATCATAGTTACCGACATTTTCCAACCGTGTCAAAATTACCGAATTTTCTGTTACCAATATTTTGCGGGCACCACCGTAACAGAATATCCATTTACAAAATATCGTCTACTTATTGTATATGTGAATGAAAGACGTTGTCTTCAGTTAATAAGAATATATCACAGACATAATTTAAATATTGTCAGTTTTCTGTTGTATATTTAATGCGGGGATATAGATCAAGGTGAACTGGATATATTATCAGCAAAAACTAAAATGAAATTTTAAAAATAAAAAGACATAAAATAATTCCCTCTGTAAAAAATAGATTATGTTTTTTCTGAAAATTTCTCATATTTAATAAGATTTTAGCCCAAGTTATTTGCATCTCGGTGGGAAATTAATAGGATTAAAGTATACTTCCATGGAACATTGGCTCAGCAGAACTTGCCGATGTAAGTCTTCCAGACTGTCAATTTCACAAAGCGAATGCTATTTATTTAATAGCATCGTCCGTTTCCTTAATTAAGAAGAAAGAGTTTCACAAAGATTGCTTGGAGTCAGACAACAATATCCTCGAAAAATTCACTTGACAGTACCACGAAACAATGTTTCATGTCTGAAATGCTAGCCAACGTTATCTATCTATCTATCTATCTCTCTATCTCTCTCTCTCTCTCTCTCTCTCTCTATATATATATA